CAGGGATATATGGCCGTAATTAACCCTAAAAAATATAATATTCTATATAGTTTACATGCATTATTGGAGCTTAAGATAGAAGTTTAAATAAATAAATAAGCACCTTATGCAATGGAAAACTTATATACACCACATTAGGCTAAAATCAAATTGTCAAACTCTCAATATGTCATTAAACACTTAGTAATATCTACAAGTGTTAAGTTCTGATGATCAAATAAAAAACTAAAATATCAAGTGAAAATAAAACATACATATAATATACATTGTTATTATGGCCTGGCCTGCAACAAGTAAAGAGAAAGGCACAGAAGAATTGCTATTTCCAAAAATTAAAAAAATAAAATAAAAATTGATATATATAAATTAAATTAGCATAGACAGCTGTTGAGCAGAAAGAGTGTGACGACGGAGAAGGCAAACGTAAGATCAAAGTCGTGGCAGTGGAATTTGACACCGGTCGGAAAAAAACAAACCGCCACCACCGCTCTGCATGCATGCGTACGCACGATACATGCATTTGTGTGACTTTTCTAATATTAAATTAATTAAGGAGAGTGGTAGTGGTGGTTGCAGAGTTGAAGCGGTCGGAGAGTTATAAACTCGCCGGCAGCCCCACCATAAGGAGAAAGAAACAGCCACCGCCGCTCTGTAACGCACCACCGCTTCCAAATAAACGACAATTCTCCCACCACCGATAACTATATTAACTTGTTACAAGATTTATTTTTAATTGACAAATTAATAGTATACGGTCACTCGAAGTGAACTGAATGAGATTAAACCGTAGTACGAGTGCAATAATTTGCAAACCACGTAAGATTAATGAGACGAATTCGACGGAATATTATAGTTTGCAACTTTGCATCTTTTAAATTTGCACTAATTTCACATTTTGGTCCCTCGTGTTTAACAAAATTACATTTGGTTCTCATGTTTCAAAAATTTAACACTTTAGTCCGTTCTATCAATTTTTCGTTAGTATTAACGGAATCAAGTTGTGCTCTCACTGCTTTAACTGACGGGCAAACAGTATATTGATGGAAACGACAAAAAATGTTAAATTATTGAAACATGACTACATAAAGGACCAAACGTGTTTTTTTTTAATAAGAGGACCTAATGTAAAATCAGTACAAGCTTGAGGGATGAAACTATAAATATATATGATCTATATATTTTCAAACTTATTTTAATTACCAATTTTCGGGTACCCCTTATTGCAATTAATATTCAGATAAATAAATATATAATGTGTCATTTCACTTAAAAATGGATAATTAAATCGCTGACGTGTTCCTATATTTACACGAAAATCAGGAAATTCGAGTGGGCCCCGGCCTGTGAAAAAAAAAGTGAAAGAAGGTGAAATAAATAAAAAAAATAGACAAGTGGAGGTGACACGTGAGTGGTGACGTGGGCATGAGATCACGTGACCATAAAAATTCCCAAGCTTAACAACAACTGACGCTTACTTGACTATGCCCCTCCCGTACCAATTACCGAGACCACCCTACCCGCCACCCCTATTTTACACTTTGGTTATTACTTTTTTTTTTCATTTTTTTATTATTATTATTATTTTATTTGCTTTTTCTTTTTAATTGCAAAAAGAAAATCAAAATTCATTTTAAAACTTTTGCCTTTGTAACTAATATGATTATTTCAATGATTATTAATACGTGCACAATGATTAGTAGTACCGATTCCACTCATTCAGCTTTATATCAAGGTTAGTTATTTTAATTTACAATGTTATTTAGATTTTTTGAAACTTATATCTTACCCCCCATCTATTTATTTATATATAATTAAACATAGGACATTACAGTCACACCCTAAAGAAAGGTAAATTACGAAAAATACCCTAATGTTTGGATTATTACAGTATTTCCCTCAACTATAAATCTTCTTATACGTCTATCTTTATGGTGTCAAATTCAACTCACCTTATGGAATGTATTCTAATTTGTGCTTGTTTTGTGCATAAATGTAGTTTCTCATTCACCACAATCTAATAATTACAAAACTAAAAAAACTATATCTTATGATCATCTTGCTGCAAATGGAGTTCAAATAGGGAAAAACGGATACAAACTGGAGGATATTTCTTATAATCAAGAAGATTCTACTAAATTTGACACCGCACGGATTGTCGTGTAAGAAGATTCATAGTTAAGAGGGATGATTGTAATTATTCAAATATGATGGGTATTTTCGTAATTTGACCATATATGAGGGGCGACCGTAATTTAACCTTAAATATAATATTAAAATCTCCACTGAATGTAATAATCTTGGAAGTAATTATTACATCTATGTTATATTTCTAGTATTTTCTATTAACTAATTGTCATTTTAATCTTGGAAGGAATCACTATCTGTTAGATAATATTTATCTATACTCATTATATTAAAAGTTACAGAAAACAAAATGAATTGAGTATGATCTGTTAGATAATATTGAAAAGCAAAGATCAATAAATAAATAAATAAATAATGAATACAAGTAATAAATATTAATGGTGTTCACCAGTCACTGAAAATAATCCAGCCAACCAAATCACAGATAAGTTGGCTACAGAGAAATTATCAAAACTGAGTTGAAAAATTAAAGACAAGTCATAAAAAGAAGGGAAATTAAATCATGACATGATAGATGTAGATGGTATGAAGAATACTAACTAGTAGTAGTCCTAGTAGTGAAGTGGGAGCCAACCAATTTTTTTTAATAATATTCTCCATAATTATTTTTTATATTTATATTTATTTAATATTTTGTTTAAATTCTTTCATTTAATTATTAGGTCAAACCAATGTTCTTAAATTGTTTTGATTAGGTTGTCTTGTTAATGTTTTTTTCTCAGCATGCATAATAAAAATGTATAATGTGTTAACAAGTATTGAGACAATTTTGAGTAGTGGAATATGTATTGTTTGTCTCTCTTTCTATATTCTGTTTTTTTTTCAAATAAAGATAAAAATAAAACTAGCTGTGCAAATAGTGCACTACAAATGCACTCGAATGAATTCAAATAAATGGCCAATGTATCACCAAACTCCATTATACTAAATGATACGAAGTTGTCGTAAAACAAATTGGTGTATTAATTAAGTATTAATTAATCGCTTCAAAGATTTTGTTCGAAGTTCGAACATATGACGTCCGCTCAAAACTAACAATCTATTTTCAACTTAATAACTGAAAAATGACGAAAACAAAACTCCAAGATATGTGCTAAAAATCATTATTAATCGACAAACGACGAAATGTTGCTTCAAACACTATGTTCGGATATATGACATGTGATAATTTTAAAAAACTACTTTTGATATTAATTGAAAAACGGCGAAAAAAAACATGCTAAATTTCAAAATCTACTTTTATATATTTTTATTGACAAACGTCGAAATGCATATCGCCCAATCATCCGTTATATATTTCTGTATACTTCGTAATTGGTCAATTCAAAGATTATGTTCAAAATACATGGCGTGCGCAAAATGTAAAAAATCTATATTTCTACTTAATTGTAAACCGACAAAGATATATAGTAACTCCAAAAGATTTAAATCTTCCTTATTGGTATACCAATAACGATCGAACACTTGTAAAAAAACGAACATTTTTCGGTTAAAAATGTTAAAACTTCGTAAGACCTTAACCGTTAATCAAAAGGTACAATAACGTATTATGTCAACCGAACATCTAAATCCGAATTATCTTTTATAAAGTTAGCAAGTTGTATATCCAATAACGAATTATTTCTTATATATTTTCGAGTAAGCTTAGCAAGATCATATAACCATCAAAGATATATTGGTGGTGCACTCAATTTTTGATTGGGATTGAAATTGGTGTGCAACTTATCTTACTAATATATACATTCAAGATACTTATTAATTTGATTTGATTAAAAAATAACACCAATTGCATATTTAGGGCGATCGCTCAAAGCACGCAAACCGCACAAGAGATGCATGCAAATCACACCAGCTTTGTTGTTCAAAACACTAGGCTACTCCAATGGTCTTTTCTATATTTTCGAGTAGTAATTAGTCGCTTCAAAGATTTGGTAAGGAGATATGACGACGTGCGCTAAAGATTAAAAACCTATTTTTCCACTTAATAATTGCAAAACGACAAAGATCAAACTCCAAAATAGTTGCTAAAAACAAAATTAATTGACAAACGACGAACATGCTCTTTTAATGATTTTGTTCGAACATGTGACGTGTGCTAAAAATTAAAAAACCACTTTTTATATTAATTGAAAAACGACGCGAAAAATCCAACAAAACGTGCTATAATTCAAAATATCCTTTTATACATTTTTATTAACAAACGACGAAATGAATATCGCCCAATCATCCGATATATATATTCGTGTAGTGCGTAATTGGTCACTTCGAAGCTTCTACATGACGTGCGCTACACGTCAAAAAACTATTTTTCTACTTAATTAAAAAACGACAAAGACAGTAAAACTCCAAAAGATTACAATTTTCCTTACCGATAAAGCAATAACGAACGAACACGTGTCAAAAAAACAAAATCGAACATCTTTAGTGCGAAAACGTTAAAACTTCGTAATACCTTAACCGTTATTCGAAACGTAGTTTTTCAACCGAATATCTAACTAATCCCAATTATCTACTATAAAATTAGTAATCAAGTCATATTTCTTTTATTTAAATTGTATATATATTATTATATAGTAGATGCGCGTGAGAAGCGGTAGAGCAAAAAAGCGAGTGGGACAAGTGCGATATCTTTCCCACTCTTTTAACACTATTTAAGCACATAGAAACTCTTCGGCAAATCAGATACTCATATGATCTCTCTCTCTCTCTCATCTCTTCCACCCTGAAAATTAAATTGCCAATAAACACCCTCTTATTTCTGCACAACACAGAAGATACAAACAGCCTTGAGAAACAAAAACATTTCATTTTACACACACAATAATAATACTAAATAATAAATAATAAATAATAATAAAGTAATAAATAATAAATAAAAAATAATAGCAATCCTTTCCTTAACCTTCACGCCTCCATTAAAACCTCTTACACCAAAAAACCCTGTTACACTCTCTGTTACTACATTATTGTTTTCTCTCTCTCTCTCTCTAGATCTTCTCTTTCCACCTCTCTCTCTCTCTTACGCATTGAAAATCCAGAAAAAAACAACGTTTGGAGAGGTTAGATTCTCCTAATTTCCTCACCAAACAGCACTAGCGTTTGCCTCCTTCTTCCCCTTCAGTACTCATCTGTTTATATAAATGCCGCTCTTCTCCTCCACGCTTTCTCAGGCAAACCCAACACAGTACTTTCTCTCTCTACTTTTTCCAGTACTAGTACTGTACTGCTAGAGTTTGTTTCTCTCTCTAGAATAACCCAAAACCTAGCTCTAGCTCACTTTTCTATAATGGGTTCTCCTTCTTTTCATGACAAAAAAAGAGAACAGAGCAGAAACTGCGTGTTCGTGCACGGCCCCATAATCGTCGGCGCCGGCCCCTCCGGCCTCGCAACCGCCGCCTGCCTCCACCAGAACGGCGTCGGCTCCGTCATACTCGAGAGGAGCGACTGCATAGCTTCTCTCTGGCAGAACAGAACCTACGACCGCCTCAAACTTCACCTCCCCCGCCAATTCTGCGAGCTCCCCTACATGAATTTCCCCGACAGCTTCCCGAAGTATCCGACCAAGCACCAGTTCATCTCTTACATGGAGTCCTACGCCGACCGCTTCTCCATCAAACCGAAATTCCGGCATTCCGTCACGGCGGCGGAGTACGACGACGCGGCGGGGCTGTGGAGGGTGGACACTCACACTCACACACAGGAGGAGGACTTAGTGCAGTACTGCTCGAGGTGGCTGATCGTGGCCACCGGAGAAAACGCGGAGCCGGTGATGCCCGAGATTCAAGGGATTGAGAAATTCAAAGGACCCGTTTTGCATACGAATGTGTACAGATCCGGATCCGAATTCGCGAAGCAACGGGTCCTGGTTATCGGGTGTGGGAATTCGGGTATGGAAGTTAGTTTGGATCTCTGCAGATATAATGCTAGCCCCCACATCGTCGTCAGAAACTCTGTATGTATTTATTTTCACCACCTTTTGTTTTACAATAATTTTAATTAGAGAAAATTAATTAATTAATTAATTATAATTAATTGCAGGTGCATATATTGCCTAGGGAGATGTTCGGTATTTCAACTTTTTCACTAGCGATGATGCTACTAAAATGGCTGCCGTTAAACCTAGTCGACAAGTTTCTTCTCACGGTGGCCAATTTCAACCTCGGAAAAACCGAACGTTTAGGTATCCGCCGCCCTAAAACCGGCCCCATCGAACTCAAGAACGCCACCGGAAAATCGCCGGTTCTTGATGTTGGCGCCCTTTCCCAAATCAAAGCCGGCAAAATTAAGGTAACTAATTCAATAATTAAATCCACATAACAAACACGTGTCAATATTTTAATTATTATTAATATATATATATAGTAATTAATTAAATTAAATAATAATTAAATGAAATGGCGCAGGTGGTGGAAGCAGGAGTGAAGGAAATAACAAAGAATGGGGCAAAATTCATGGATGGTCAAGAAAAAGAATTCGACTCTATAATTCTGGCAACCGGGTACAAGAGCAATGTGCCCACTTGGCTCAAGGTACATACATTTATCTTCTTATAATTAATAATATTTATTTAATTTAATTTAATGAATGAATTAAATAATTGACAATCACATATCGCAATCGGTTGTCTTACACATGCAGTGGGCTACAAAACGTTTTTTCTTACACTGTTACAGAGAAAAGAGGAAATCTGACGGCTTTTGTTTGGATCATCTTCCCAGTGTTTAAAAATTTTATTTTTGTTTCCATTTTCTCATCTGTTACTTTCATCAAATATTCTCTTTCTCTAATTAATCTTTTTTTTTATATAAATAAATAAATGATTTTTCTTTTTTATTTATTTATGATCTCGAGAGGGAATCTAGAAAAAAATTAAATGATGTTAAATTAGAGGGCTCAACTACTTTGTCTTTTATTACCACCTTAAAAAATAATATAGCTACTATTATATAGTAGTAGTAGCTGCTGCTGCTGCTTTGAACTAATGAATAATGATGATATGCAATTAAAACCAGTAGTAAATTAAATTAAATGTCTGTGTGTCACACATTATTGTTCTTTATTTTCTTGGTATAACCAATTTTTTTTTTTTTTACTTTCACCTTTTCCATAAATTAAAAAAATATAATTAAATTATTTTTTTTTTAGTTTCAATTTGTATTAAAAAAATTAAAATGTGGTCTAATATTATTATTATTATATTTAATTACAGGGAAGTGATTTTTTCACTAAAGATGGAATGCCGAAATCACCATTCCCTAATGGTTGGAAGGGGGAGAAGGGATTGTATGCGGTGGGGTTCACCAGAAGAGGGCTGCTCGGTACATCAGCGGACGCTGTTAATATTGCCAGAGACATTTCTCAACAATGGACGATGATCAACAAAAGATTCCCTTAACAGAGAAAAAGATACTGAAATAATAATAAATAATAAAAATAGAGAAAACGTATTAGAGTGAACAACGCTTTTAGGCAGAACCAGTCAGTTTTTTTTTTTTTTTTTTTTTTTTTTTTTTGTAGGTGGGGGGGTTTTTGATTTTTCAGTTGTAAATCAAACCAGTTTTGTATTTCGAGTCTGTTTTCTTTTTTATTTATTTATTTTTTATTTCCTAGGTTTAAGTTTGGGGATGTATTTTTCTTTTATTAATGTAAATAAATGTTTAAAATATATTCTGTCTTCTTCTCTTCATGTTTTATTGTTCAGTGTCCACCCTTCTTTTTTTTGAGTAATTAGGCAGAATTTCATGCGAATAATAATAATTTATTATTATTCTTAATATTTTTTTATTATTTTTTTCTATATTAATTTTGCTAATTACAAAAATTTCAAAATTCAAACCAAATTGTGTAAAATCCTTAGATCAACAATCTCTTATTTTTCAACCATCTAATTATACTTGCATGTTTCTTTCTTTTTATTTTTTATTTTTCTAAAAATTTTAGTTTATTAATTGCTTAATTTATTTAACAATTTCAATTTTATGACAATTAAGTTTATTTAATCTTTTGTAGAGTGAATTTATACTATCTATCACATTGGTATGAATGTTGATATTGCTCTACTATAACCTAAATAAATTACTAATAAATTTAATTATAATAGTAAGTCCAAATTATTATAATAAATTAAATAATATACCACTGCATAGTAGGTCCAAATCAAAAGAATTGTCCAAAATTCATAATACTCCAACGCAATTGCTAATCTCAAGGACAAAGAGAATTGTCAACTTCAGAGAACTTTGCACATTATTTAATGCAAAAATTGAAATATATATATAAATAATTGCATATTTTCCGTACAATTGATACTTATATAATATGAAGAAAAAAAATGTGTAATTAAAACTATAGTTGTAGCAGGTAATGTGGGAAATGGTCATCTCGTCCAGAAAAAAAAAAAAAAAAAAAAAAAAAAAGGAAAAAGAAAAAAAGAAAAATCCGATTTTAGCAAAAATAAATAATCAGACTGTACGTACTTGAAAAAGGCGTGTTTTTCCAAAGTCGCGTGTGTGTATATAAAAACATTAGCCATTGCCAAAAGCGGGGTAGAGGTTCTCTACAGTGAACGCGACTTTTACAGTGCTATTTTTGGCACTCAATTTTTTTCTTCTTAACACATTAGTTATTTCAGTTAACGGGTACGTTTTTTACACGCAAAAGAGAGAATCTATTGAATTTGCTTTTTCTGATTTAATCATTGCTACACGATTACATCACCACCACCATTTCAATCCTTTTTTTTCTTTTTCTTTTTTAATACAATAATAATTATTAATATGAAGATTAAAAAATTAAAAAATAATAATAATATTATTTGTCATGAGCCAAAAAAATTGAAGTATTTAACGTATA